TTCCTTTCCTTGTTTCTATTCTTCCCTTCCTCCAATCTTCCTCCCTCCCTCCTCTCTCTCTCCAACTTTCCTTTTTCTTTTCTCTTTCCTTCCCATTCTTCCTTTCCTTGTTTCCATTCTGCCTCCTTCCCAAATTTCTTTTTTTTTTCACCCTTTCCTTCCTTCGTCTTTTCTACCATTCCCCTGCTCTCTTTTCTCCCTTTTCTCTTTCCTTTCTTCCCTCCCTTGGATGTCTTTGCAGGACATCCCAATGGGGCTGAAATAATGGCTGGGCCTTTATGCCACAAACAGGAAGATGCACAGAATGATCCTATCTGCAAAATACTCTGTTTTTTTTGGGGGGGGGAGGTGGGGAGGGTCGGCCCTGAACCCCTTTCTCAACAAGGGAGAGATTTAAATTGCAGGGGGGCGGGGAGAGGTTCCCCCAAGGTGCCAGACTTGAGTACAAAGAGCATCTGAAGTCTTCACAAGGGGTAGGAATCTGGCTTGGATTGGCAAGGCGATGTGTTCCCACCCTTTGCTCCCCTCCGTTAGCAATCTCTCCCAATTTACTGATCCCAGCAAGAGGAATAAGGCGTAAAACATTTTTCCTTGCAGGAAGAAGAAATCCCTGAATTAGAAATAGATGTGGATGAACTGTTGGACATGGAGAGCGACGAATCGCGGAGCGCCAGGGTGAAGGTAAAAAAAAAAAAAGGACGAGAAGAGAAGCGTCTCTTTTGCACACACAGGGACACACAAGTTACAAGAGGGGCTTGAAACAGGGTGTGCATGTGTGTGTCTCGCCGTCTCTACACAAGAGTCACAAAAAGACCTTGAAAGGTGTGCATGTCCCGCTGCCTCTACTCAAAAGTTACTGGAAGGTTGTACACGTGTGTCTCATCGCCTCTGCCCAAAAGTTACCGGAAGGGATGTGCGCGTGTGGGTTTTGTTGCCACTAACCCCAGGGCCGTAACAAGACCCTCCGAAACGGCCCAAAAGCAAGGCGTGCAAGCCCCAGCTGTGATACGCCGGCTTAGCCAAAAGAACCGTAATTCAAATAAAGAGGGTTTTTAAGAAATCACAGCTCTCCACCCCTAAGGCTTGGCTGGAGATCTAAGATGACAAGCTTTAAAAATAAGCAAATTTTTCTGTTGTTGTTTTTTTCACCCCGTTGCAGGAACTTCTGGTCGATTGCTACAAGCCCACAGAGGTAGGTCTTTATTTCAAAAAATATATATATATATATATATATTTTCTGCAGCCAGCTTATTGGCAGTGGCCAGTTTCTCTTCCCCATTGTCCCTCCTCTTAAACTCCCCAGAGAGGGTGCTAGTCCTTCCTCTCTTTCCCAGCAGCTGCAAAACAGCTGCTGCCTCCCTCTCTGTGGGGTTTGCGGCCCCCCCAACACCTGTTAGGGGAGGAGGACTGGTTCTCCCCCCCCCCCCCACCCCCACTTCCTTTTCTGGCGCCTTTTCCCAAGCCTGGCCTCCTGAAACGGCAGGGGGAGGGTGGAACAGGTTGTAAGGCAAAGCAGGGACAGCTTCACTGTGGTGCAAACACACACACAAACACAGCACGCACCGCAACGGGCGAGAAGTGGCTGATCCCAGAGGTGGGTTTTCCGGCGCAGTTTTCCAGACTGAGCAGATGTGCCAAAATGAAGGTTGCTTTACCTGGGCCAGCCTTTTCCCCCCCCCTCTCTCTAGACACTACCCAGCTAAGTATCGTGGGCTGTTCCCCCCCCCCACAATTTGGGGATAGACTGCGCCTGTTCAAAGAGGTTTGGCTTTACAGTCCCAGCTCAAGCAGCGCTAAAGGCTTGGTTTAAGGTCTTTTTAAGCTAGGAGGTGTGTTTCTCAGTCTTGGCCACTTTTAAGAGGGGTGGACTTCAACTCCCAGAATTCCCCAGCCAGCAAGGGGAATGCAAGTCCACCCATCTTAAAGCCTGCTTGGCTGGGGAGTTCTGGGAGTTGAAGTCCATTCAAATTAAAGCACGAGGAATTCTGGGATTCGAAGTCTAGATATCTTAAAACATATTGCCTGGGGAAATCTGGGAGTTGTAAAAAGCCTGCTGGTTTAGAGAATTTGGGGAGTCAAAAGTCTGTCTTAAAGCGTGCTACCTAGGGAATTCTGGGAGTTGAAGTCCATCCACCGTAAGCCATTCTAACTGAGGATTTCTGGGAGTTGAAGTCCACCCATCTTAAAGCATGAGGAATTCTGGGACCTGGAGTCTAGCCATCTTAAATCATGCCAGCTGGTTAGTTCTGGGAGTCAAAGTCCACCCATCTTAAAGCATCCTGGCTGGGGAATTCTGGGAGTTGAAGTCCAAACATCCTGGCTGGGCAATTCTGGGAGTTGAAGTCCAAACATCCTGGCTGGGCAATTCTGGGAGTTGAAGTCCAAACATCCTGGCTGGGCAATTCTGGGAGTTGTAGGTCCACCGCTCTTAAAAGTTGCCAAAGGTTGAGAATCCTTGCTACGGACACTACTACGCAGGGGAGTAAACTTTTACTCTGAGCCTTTTTTCCCCACCTCCTTTCTTACCTCCCAGGTTTTCGTGGCCGACTTGCTAGACAAGATCCGAGGGATGCAGAAACTAAGCACCCCGCAGAAGAAGTGACCTCCGGAGTTGTGGGCGGCCGTGCTGCGTGGCCCCAGCCATTCGGGGCCCGTGTGTCGCTGAAATGTGGGCAGTGCTGGGTTTCAGGGAAGGGGGGGGGCGCTTTCACAGGGCTGAGGAGGGGGGAAGGAATCGGTTGGTTTCCCCTCCCCGCCCGAACCATCACAAAAAGAGGAAGATTTGGGGGGGGGGGGATGCTCTGATAATCAGAATAATTTGATCGCCTTTTAGCAATATCTCTCTGCAGCTGCCTCCCCCCGTCCCTGTTCCCCGCCCCCCCCCCCCAAAAAAATCTGTCCTGGCTCCGTGCCAGTGTGTTTGTGTGTGCAAGGGGGGGGGGGGTGGGCATTTGTTCTCAAAGAGGAGGGAGGGAAGAAAGAGAGTAGGATCTTAAAATGAGATTCGGACTGGGCAGGGAGGGGAAAGTATCTGGATTTGTGGGGGGGGGGAGGACCATTTTGTTTTTGTTTTTAATTATTGTGTTTTTATATAAATTTAATAAAGACGCTTTGAGAAGAAGGCAGCCTGGTTTTTGCAATGGGGGCAGAGGGAGAAGGGTGTGGATGAGAAAGTTTTTTGGGTGGGGGGGGTGAATTACACTGAGGTCTCCCTCAACTTCACCGAAATATGTTAAATTTCTTTAATTAAAAAAAAAAAAGCATTTTTAATCCTCTTGTTTAGTGACCCATTTCAAGGTAGAAGTCCACAAGTCTTAAAAATAAAAAGTTACTACGGTTAGACAACGCTGGTTTTGCACAATTGTCGCTTGTGGCCTGTCTTTCCCAGACACGATGAGGAGACTCAAAAGGCCGGTGGGTGTTTGGTTAAGGACATATCTGGCAGAATCCTGCCGTAGAAACACATAGAAGTTCGGGACGGTGCAGCTTTCCTGCAGCAAAATATATTTTTGCTCGCTGGAAATTGTTGGGTGGGGGGGGGGGAAGAACCCCAGGATGGATAGCTAGCTAGCTATTCCAGGATTCGTTGGTTTGGCCACACGTCTCTCTCCTCTTTAAGCTATTCTGGCTGGGGAAATCAAGCCCGGCTGGCTGTTTTGCCTTGCAGAATTAAGACTTGGAAGGGGCCTTTGGAGGTCGTCTAGTCCAACCCGCTGCCTAAGCAGGAGACCCTGGCACCATTCAGGACAAAAATGACTGTCCGATCTCTCCTTAAAAATCTCAGCTAGGGAGGTGCGGGGTGTGGGGGGGAGGAGAAGAGGAACTCTGGTTAGCCCCCTCATCTCCCCCTGCTAAAAAAAAAATAAGTGGCTTCAAGCCGCTTCTAATTAGAGGCGAAAAAACAGAGACAGAAGGCAGCGGCCAGGCCCCTAGCGAGAGCAACGCCTTTGCCTCAATTGTCCCAATGGAGCTGTAGTTAGAGCAGCCTCCCCCACCCGGTCGGTGGTAACTCATCAAGGAAGGAATGCTTTGCAAGGCCTGGAGCTAATCCCAGCATCCTCGGGTTTCCGGCCTTAAGTCACCGCTGAGCAAAAGCTTAATATCTCTCTCTCCCTCCGTTCCTCCCTCTCCTCTGCTTGTCCACGTGGCTTGGAGGTTCCTTTATGCAAAGTCTGGCACCTCTCAAGAAGGCCAGGCCTAGAACGGGCTTGGGAGGAAGCAAGACGATTTCGGGGGGAAAGGCCACCCCTGGAATATTGCATCCAGGTTGGGTCATCACATTAGAGAGAAGATATTGGGACTCTGGAAAAAGTGCAGAGGAGAGCAACTAGGATCTCTCTCTCTCCCTCCCTCTCTTTCTCTCCATCCCTCTCTCTCTCTCTCCCTCACACACACACAAAACCATTGGCTTAAGACTTATGGACTTCAACTCCCAAAATTCGGCCATTGTGTAATTCACCAACTCCCAACTGGGTGAACTTCAACTCCCAGAATCCCCCAGCCATTGATGAGAGAATTCTGGGAATTGGAAGTCCGTGCATTTTAAAATCGCTAAGGTGGGGAAACAGAGGCCTAACTGCTTCAAGGCGCTGTAAAGTTATTTCCTGCGGTATGTACTGTACACATATATGCACACCATACACATATATCCACCACTTTGACATGGGTTGGTTTTGTTTTTTTTGCATTTTCCCCATCCCTACGATAGTAAGTTAGCTTAGAAAAACTGCAAAGTTCAAAGCCAGGATTTTTTTTTTTAATGCAAATCAAATCCTGTGGAAATTGCAAAAAGCTTTTCAAGACCAGGTCTCCAAACTTAGCCAACTTTAAGACTTGTGGACTTCAGCTCCTTGAATTCTCCAGCCAGAATTGGAAGTCCACAAGTCTTAAAGTTGGCTAAGTTTGGAGACCTCTGGCTTAAGCCACAATCGGGCCCATATATCATTTTTCCCCGCATGTTTTTATTTTTATTTTTTTTAAAAAGGCGTAAGTGTAAGCCACGATGCGAACCGTTCCCATTTACATCGTAGGGTGGAGAAAACCGCCATGGCGCAAGTCCAACTCGTACAGAACCTTCTGGAAGGACCCACCGCCCTCCCAAACGCAAAAACATACGGGCTTGTTAACCACGAAGGTCTGGGACGGCGCTGTTTGCTGCACAGCTACACAATGCTGGCAAAAAAACCAACCCCAGCCTTTTCGCACTCACACTTCAGCCAGGCCCGCCCGCTCGTTGCTCAACAGCGCAAACTCATCTTGTTATCTCGCTTTCTCACCAGTTCCTTGCGGCAGGAAACTTCTGTTCCTTTTATTTGCGGAGTCCCTGCTGTCCTTAAACAAACCTAGTTTTTTTATATATTTTTTCCCTCCTCTAAGAAGTCGGGACGGGAGAAATGGTCTTTTTTGCTTTTCGTTTCTTTTTGAAGATGCTCAGCAGGTTGTTGTTAGGAGATCGCTGGGGTGTTCTCTGGACAGAGTCCCAGAACTCCATTGGGGCAGCAGAGAATTCGAAGAGGTCTCTTCTCCATCTAGGTAGGATACGTAAGGTCTAAAGCAGGGGTAGGCAACCCGCGGCTCTGGAGCCACGTGTGGCTCTTTCATCCCCCTGCTGCGGCCCTTTGTCGCCTGTCGGCTCCACAATGGATAGGGCTTTCAGTTAGGACAGGTAGAGGAAAAAGGACGCCCTGCTAGGAGGAGACTCTATGGTAGGGGAACCGGACTTCCGGTCGGCTCCACAATGGATAGGGCTTTCGGTTAGGAGAGGTAGAGGAAAAAGGACGCCGCGCGAGGAGGAGACTCTATGGTGGAAGAACTGGACTTCCGGTCGGCTCTTAGGACCTTTGTGGCTCTTTGAGTGTTTAAAGTTGCTGACCCCGGGTCTAAAGCATTGTTTCTCAGTCTTGGCAGCTTGAAAATGGAAGGACTTCAACTCCCAGAATTCCGCAGCTACCACACTATGGGTTTATGGTGTGATTGTGAGTGTATTGTATGTGTAAGTTTTATTCACAGCCAACTAGAGGGCCAGAACGAGTCTTGACCAGGCTTTTTCAACTTCAGCCAACTTCAAGAAGGGTGGACTTCCGACTCCCAGAATTCCCCAGCCAGAATTCTGGGAATCGAAATCCACCCATCTTGGCTGGGGGATTCTGGGAGATGAAGTCCACCAGTGTTAAAATCATGCCGGCTGGAGGATTCTGGGAGTTGAGCTCCAGCGGTATTAAAACATGACGGCTAGGGAATTCTGGGAGGTGAAGCCCACCCATTTTAGCGCATGCTGGTTGGGGGGATTCTGGGAGTTGAAGCCCACCCACCTCAAATTTGCTAAGGTTGCAAAATACCGGTTGTCCTGACTGTTAGAACAGGCAGCCATTCCTGCTCAATTCAGAACCTTGACTCAAAGCCATTCAGGCCTCTCTGCCCCCTCCCTCCTCCTACTGCCCCCACTTTACCCCTCCTCCTTGTGGTTAAAAGCCCCAGGATGCTGGCAACCTTGTGAACACAAGGCAATGCTGCCTCCGGGACAGTTTATCCCAAGCTGGGCCTTTGACCAGCTTTCAAGGTCTCCCCATTCCCGTCCTTGGTTGGTCCGCCAGACGAAGTCTTCCTCCCCCGGGCTTCGCTTTCATGGCACAAAATCTGGTCTGTGCTTTTTTTTTTTTTAAATTTATTTGGCCCCTCTAGGAGCGACAAACCCGTTTCCAGTTCCTTCTCCGGCCTGTCCGTCCGTGCGCACCCCTCCCCCACGAACCCCTCTTCCTGGCAGCTATAGTTCCTGGCGACGCTCAATCTTCAGCAGTTCAACTTCAAAGATGAGCGTGGCGCCGCCTGGGAAGAGGGTGGGAAAAAGAGAAAGAAGAAGGCAAGAGGTTGAAGGGTGGAGTGGGTGGAAGGGTCCCTGGACGAGGACCGAAACGTGGTCCTTTTTTAAAAAAAAAAAGTCCTCGCAGCTGGGTATGAACGAAGCCCATCCATTAAAATGGAAGGAGATTTAAGATTTCCACAATGGGTGAACGGCTGAAAAAGTTGATGGGAGCTAGCAGACAGGGCTAAATTGACTGCGACGATGGTAGGATACAATTCATTTTGCTTCTACTTGGAAACCGTTTCTGGACTTTGTGCTCGAGGTGGAAAAAAAAACCCATGAAACCTTGATTTCGGGTTTCGAGGATTGTATGAGTTCGTTGGTATCGAAAGGGCTAGTACATGTTATTATGTACAAGTACAAAGTTGAGGTGTGTCTTATTAGCTTATTCTACTGAGCCAAAGAAAGTCGGAAGTCAGTATATTTCTTTTCCTTTCCCTTCTCATCCTACATTTTCCTCTCCCTCTTGACGTCCCCTATGTTCCGATTATTCTCATTCTCCTTTGTCTTTCTGCATTTTTCTATTTTGACAAACCAATAAACGTTTGTCACCCCGTCAACAAAGTCAATCCAAACAGGATAAAAATCCAATGGGAGAAACTAAGATAAGGATGTTACAGAACTTGGTTAACAGAGTAAGATGTCTTATTCTATGGCTGGATGACTTTGGGTCAATCACCAGAAGACTGGGAGTTCTAGTCCTGTCTTAGGCATAGAAGCCCACTGGGTGACTTTAAGCCAATCACCAGGAGACTGGGAGTTCTAGTCCCGCCTTAGCATGAAAGCCCGCTGAGTGACTTTGGGCAAATCACCAGGAGACAGTGAGTTCTAGTCCCGCCTTAGGCATGGAAACTAGCCGGGTGACTTTACGCCAATCACCAGGAGACAGTGAGTTCTAGTCCCACCTTAGGCATGGAAATTAGCCGGGTGACTTTATGCCAATCACCAGGAGACAGTGAGTTCTAGTCCCACCTTAGGCATGAAAGTTGGCTGGGTGACTTTGGGCTAGTCACTCTCAG